CTCTTTTTTAATTAAGTTATGACGAAAAGATAAACCAGACAATTTAATGGAACCTTCTAACTTTCAAAGCGAACTATATATTCTTGCATGTAACTAAGAACGAGTAACTTGGTGGGCACCATTTTATTCTGTATTCAATTACTATAATAGAATTAATGGTGAACAGTTACACACAAGGATATGAAATTGCTCTCATTGGAGTACCAAAATGTTTATGACATCAGGGTACCAAAATGCTAGTCCTTTGACCTCTGATCGTACACAAAACCAAACAAACAACATTCAATCATTATCAAACATTTCTAAAGGGTGGCCTCTTAGATTTAGATCCAAGGATCCTAGCACCAACTAGATTCGGTCGGCAAAGAGCTGAGAAACAGTGTACTTGGTAGGTCTAGATTCTGGATTGTTATCTAAACATGAAAAAGCCACCTTCATGATGGATACGAGTTTGTTCTCAACTTCTGGCAGTGGAGGTGAAAGCCTTTGGTCCAACACATTGTTCAGCGGAAGGTGCACTTCAGCAGATAAAAGTGATAGATTGGAGAGAAAATCACCCGGATACTCCCCCATTATCACTTCCAACGCCAGCACACCAAAACTATACGCATCGCATTTTTCAGTCACTTTCATTGTGTAGGAAAGCTTTGCAAAGGAAAAGATAAATAGTTAAATAACAACAGTAATTACACACTCAAGTATTTGACTCATTGCTTGTTGCATGATCTTTTTAATTAAAGATATGCTATGTCATCTATGGAGCTATAATGAAATCACCTAGTGCAATATATCCGTATGTTCCAGCAACATTAGCCCAATTGGATGAGTCTGGATTGAGAAGCTTAGCAGTTCCAAAGTCTGAAACATGAGCTTCAAACTCCAAATCAAGCAAAACATTGCTGCTCGTTATATCTCGATGAACAATCGGTGGAGAACAGTCATGGTGCAAATAACAGAGGGCGTTAAATACACCTTTTACAATGTTCACCCTCTTATCCCAGTCCAATTTTTTAGCTTCTTCATCGTTCCTTAGAACAGAAGCCAAGCTACCCCTTTCAAGGTACTTGTAAACTAAGAAGGAATGCTTTCCAAAGGAATAAAAACCGTAGAACTTCACAATATTTCGATGCCGAATTTCAATTAATGCCCTTACCTCATTTAGGAACTGCTTTTGATCTGCCATTTCACCACTATGCAATGGATGGAATTTCTTCACGGCTACAGTGTCACCGGATGACAGTTCTGCTTTGTATACATTTCCATTGCCTCCTTTCCCGACGCAATATTGAGCATCGAAATCCTTGGTAGCTCTAATGATCTCTTCATATAGTATTTTTCCATTAAAGGAAGATATTGAGAAAAAAGTTTCATTACTCACACTGATTTGTCGTTCTTCGTCCGCATTTTTCTTCCTCTTTTTGAAGATGGAAAACAATGCAACTGATGAAATTGAGAGACTAGCAAGTGACAAAAGAGGGAATACAGTTGCGATGAGGGTCTTGTGGTTTTGACCCTTCCTAGAAAAAGGTGTGCAAGGTGGCAACCCGCTAACATTGCCACACAAACCTTTGTTCCCTTGTAATGCTTCTATTGAAGCATTTTGAAATGCTTGGTTGTTGGGAATGGGACGCTGCAGCTCATTACATGCTATGTCAACAGGTGACTAGCCATGGAGCAGCTCAAAAGAGGCTGGGATTTCACCGGAGAGATTGTTGTAAGAACGATTTAAAACCGACAAGCTCTGCAAAAATTGAAATTCCACTGGGATCTCCCCTGAAAGCATGTTGTGACTCAAATCTAGCAGATTCAGAAGAGTTAACGTGCCTACTTGAATCGGAATTCTTTGGTTAAATTTGTTGAGGCTCAAATTCAAGTAGTATGTTTTGGACAAATTCTCTATATTTTCAGGGATCGACTTGCTCAGTTGCTTTGCAGACAAGTCAAGATATAAAAGGTTAGATAAAGGTACTAGTTCCACGGGCATACCACCAGAAAGTTGATTCCCGTTCAAACAAAGCACAGTCAAAGAAGTCAACTTTGCAATTTCCATTGGAATCTCCCCAACTATATCATTGGAAGAAAGATCGAGGAGTTGTACCTGACTTGAGCTTCCAATCTCAGGCGGTATTCAGCCAGTGATATTGTTCCTTGCAATAGATAGGGCATGTAAACTTTTGCACAACCCCCAATTAGACGACACTTCACCGTGAAATTCATTGTCACTTAAGTCAATGAATGTTAAGCTGGGATAAACGCCAAAATCTTCGGATATATTCCCAGTTAGTTGGTTTCGTTCAAGGTGGACTCTAAGCAAGCTCGTGCAATTTTTCAACCCTTCAGGGATTGGCCTCACAAGATAGATGTCATTTGCTGTGAAGTATCGAAGTGTTCCACTACGGCAAATGCTTTGGGGCAAATTGCCCGTCAGTTGGTTATGGTCAAATTCCAACATGGTCAATTTCATCAAATTTCCTATTGCTTGAGGTATGGAACTAGAAAGTTTGTTGCCTCGGAGGAACAAGTTTCCAAAGTTTCCCAAATTACCAAATGAAGCAGGAATTGAACCATTGAGTTGATTTTGACTC